TGGTTAACTCTTGCCTGTCTTAAGTATGAATAAAGAAATCAACAACTGGAATTATTAAGTTTGAATATATAAAATCGCCGTATGAAAATAGTTAAACCTAGTCACAGGGTTTCAAAAATTCGCCATGAATATACAGAATGATAACCATTAAACATATAAACAAGGAAACCAATATCAGACTAAGTTAATTGTTTTTAAGAAATCAGCTGATGCCAGAAAATAGCACAACAAAAAGGTTGAAAACAATATTCAATTTCTCACTACAAAAAAAGAAAAAAAAATCTAAGAAATAAATCGATTCAATCGGATTAATGAAGGGAACCGATGCATGCATACGCGTGAAAAGGAATTGAAACAATTTACCTTGGGATCGTTCTCTTTCTTCGACTTGAGCTGATTCAAGACATCGACGCACTCGGCGAACTTCCTAGACTGAAAGCAAAGTACGGCGTCTTTAGCGAGGGAGGAGGTGACGGAGAGGACGGCGTCTTCGTCGCCGGCGGTGGAACCATCCCGATTCGGAGGCGATGATGACGAATCTCGCAAATCCATGAGCAGAGCAGGCGAATCGAAGGAGATAACAAAGATTAATAAAAAAAAAGGATCTCAGGCGTAAAGGAGAATATGGTAAAGGAAACCACTTTGCTTCTTTAAACAATGAAATGCTTAGTTTTTTTTTTAACGAAATCACAATTGGGGGAAAATTTCTTTTTTTTTCTTTTGATTAAATTACACCATTTATCATTAGACTTTACCCTCTCTCCTATTTTACTCACTATATTTTTAATTTTTTAATTTACTTACTACACTTTGAATTACTTCTGTTTTGGTCACTCTTTATTACTTTTTTATTATTTTGATATAACATGGATTTTTTTTTTATTTAATATAAAAATAGTTTAAAATATAAAATTAAACCTAGATAATAGCTGATGGTGATGAGAAGGGACTATGATTATTTTAAATCATTTTAAATTTAATTTTCTTATTTTGAATTACTTTTATATTTAATAATATATAAAAATTTCATATCATAGAATAATAATAATAAAATAATTTGTAGTGATTAAAATATGAGCAATTTGAAAGTTTAGTGAGTAAATTGAAAAATTAAAAGTACAGTGAGTGAAATAGGATAAATAATAAAGTTCAGTGATGAATGGTGAAAAATTAAATAATATTTTTTATAAATACATTTATTTCGAGTCGTATATAGGTTTTACTAAAAAATTGGGTTGGTTTGGATCGAACGAAGTTATCTATAAACTTGAATCGATTCGGGTTTTAAGTAGATGCTATATATTTTCGAATCAAGTCATATTGATTGAAAAATTCGACCCGACCTGACCGATGTTCATCCCTATCTGTAACATCCTTTATTTAAATCGGATATCCAACTAAATCCGAGATGTTATATTCATATATTGAATAATAATGATATATACTAAATATCTAAATAAATCAATATTCTAGATCAATTATCTATACTTTTTAGTTAATATCAATATCAAATCTTCATACCACAATTTTTGTATAATTTCATGTTTAATAATATCAATATTTTATTTTTGTGATATTGATACTATAAAAATTGTAAAATGTAAATTTAAAAAATGCTTCTAAATCACTTCAAATCGAGTCTAAATCTATTTTTCATGATTATATTTTAACATAATCATGGCCTATAAACATATTTAGAAATAATTTAGTATCGTTGATCGTTGACGATTTACTTTTTCTGATTTGAATAAAGAATTGTAACTGATGTAAAGATAATCATTATCAGATGATTCTTCGTGAAAGAAAGAAAAAGATAGTGTGAAAGAAAAGATTGTTCTTCGTGAGAATGAAAAGATAGAAACTATACCCGAATCAACTCAAAAGCTACACCCGAACTAAAGAAAGAAAAAAATAGTGTGGAAGAGAAGATTGCTCTTGGTGAGAGTGAGAAGATAGAAATCATATCCAAATCAGCTAAAAAACTAAACCCGAAGAAAGAAAAAAATAGTGTGGAAGAGAAGATTGTTCTTGGTGAGAGTGATAAGATATAAACCATACTCGAATCAACTCAAAAACTACACCCGAATTAAAGAAAGAAAAAGATAGTGCGGAAGAGAAGATTGTTCTTGGTGAGAGTGAGAAGATAGAAACCATATCCGAATCAGCTTAAAAACTACACCCGAACTAAAGAAAGAAAAATATAGTGCGGAAGAGAAGATTGTTCTTGGTGACAGTGAGAAGATAGAAACCATACCCGAATCAGCTCAAAAACTACCCCTGAACTAAAGAAAGAAAAAGATAGTGTGGAAGAGAAGATTGTTCTTGGTGAGAGTGAGAAGATAAAAACCATACCCGAATCAACTCAAAAACTACACCTGAACTAAAGAAAGAAAAAGATAGTGTGGAAGAGAAGTTTGTTCTTGGTGAGAGTGAGAAGATAGAAACCATACCCGAATCAGCTCAAAAACTACACCCGAACTAAAGAAAGAAAAATATAGTGCGGAAGAGAATATTGTCCTTGGTGAGAGTGAGAAGATAGAAACCATACCCGAATCAACTCAAAAACTACACCCGAACTAAAGAAAGAAAAAGATAGCGTGGAAGAGAAGATTGTTTTTGGTGAGAAGTGAGAAGATAGAAACCATACCCGAATCAGCTCAAAAAATACACCCGAACTGATCTAACCTCTGAACGACAAGAACCCTACACAAATACAACAATCAATCAAAGACAATTCTCTACTGAAAAACATCACACACGCACACACCAAAGAGGTTAACATACCTAAAAAATTACCAAAATAAAAGCAAGCCAACCAGACCCCAATCATGGACTCAGGGATTCCCCAGTCCCGTACCACCATGCTTTAAATATCTCATGTCTGCACACACCATCCTTTACTAGCCAAAAAGCCATCTCATCCCAACTATACGAGTATCATAGATCTAACATGATTACAATTGTTGAAGTATATTTAACTCAAATAAATCACGTAGGACTATTATAGATCTAATCATAAGACTGTAAGCATTTCAAGAGTATAGAACTCGTGTTAAATCGTCAACTTAAATATTATTTCTAAAGAATATCTTCAGAGATATAACGATACATAAAAAATATTATAGTATAAATACTTAACATGTTGAGTTTTATGCTTTAAATAAATATAATTGTTGAAGTAGGGGTTTGCTTGTGTTGTAAGGATTGGCTTTTGTCTTAGGGTGTTTGGGCTTTGTAAGTTCTTGTTTGCTAGGATGAATATACTCTTTTCCTCCGTCGAGAGCTAGAGAGATTTTTAACGAGGCATTCATCCTTAACGTTTTCCTTCATCAATAATAATAATCATTGCTGAGCAAGAAAAAAATATTTAGTTACTATATGAATTTTAGGGTAAGAAAGTAGCTACTATTACACTGTCAAAAAAAATTAAACCTTAAATTTATTTGAAGGTAGGGCTATAATATATTCATTAGTCAAATATAGTATCACCAAGTCTTGTCATATATATATTGGACAAATACATTATGACTGTCATAATCAAAATATAACAGTGAGCGACCAATGAACTTGAAAGCCTCTTAATCGGCCTCTGAACCAGAACTTGCATAGTTAATTTAAATAAGTTAAGGAGAATTTTGGAAAGGTCAATGACTGATTTACGACTCTGATTATGATAGGTACATGTGATTCTCCTAACCCTTCGACTGCTCAGTCCAGCTCCTCTCGTTCCGTCTGACCGCTTGAGCCGTGATTACCTGGTGGTGTACTACTTTTGTTTGTAGTGAGACCAGTGCTCCGTAGATCTCCCGGGCTGATTCTTTTTGTGAGGTGTGTTCCTTGTGTGATATATATATATATATATATGTTTTAAATACCTATTTGAAATATTATGTGCACATGACTGTTTTATTTGATCTGTTATATGGCTAGTTGATTTGATTTAATTTTGCATGATTTATCTATTTCAAGCTTAATTTTCTTATTTACTGAAGTTTTAAGCATGCTTGTCTGATTCATGTTCTCTAGTTACTGCTACTACTATTTACTGTCTAAAAACTATGCTCTTCGGGGTACTCTGGGATCTAGTATGAAGTCTCTACAGGTTCAGCTTCGATCAAACTGATAATTTCTTATATAGATTCAGCACTGATCAAGTTGGTAATTCCTTATGGATCTAAGGCGACCCTTGGGTGGGCTCCTGGGCCCAATGGGCCTAGTGGTAAGATCTTATGGACCATAAGGTACTCATTTAGGGTGGCTCCTATGATATGTGCATAGGGTAAATCCTTATGGGCCTGAGGGCACACCCCTCAGGTGGGCACCTACGCTTCGGCTAGGGTAAGACCTTATGAACCTAATGTGCTTTCTTAGGTTGAAGCTCATGCCCTTTGGGCCTAGGGTAAGTCCTTATGGATGTAGTTTTGGAGAACTGCATATGGTGTATGATTGGAGGGTTGTTCTGTATTTTAAACTACAACTATACTATCATTTTCATAACTTTGATAATGATCTGATTTTGAAACTTAACTGTATGTTTTTATTTTGCACTGTCGGAACACACTGAGCTCCGTAGCTCACTCCCCCAAACTTTCCCCTTTCAGATACTTTTTTATAGGCGACCCGGACCTGACACTTGGAGGATTAACGCATTCGTACATGAGTATTTTTTGTAATGTTTTTATCTTCCGAGTTGCATTTATTTTGGGTGACATGTGTCTATATTTTGAAAATACTTGTTTTACGACGTATGTTGCTTTTGTTACCGATGTTAGATTTGCTTCGATACTGATTATGGAGTATTTTATTCATTGCTTATGACTTTAATTGTTGGAATTGAACTTTAATGTTTTTAACTATATTTTTAAAGATGTTTGTTCGTAATATGGTTTTAAACTATTGAAAAATGTTTTGGAAAATTTTTATCATAATTTGCTAGATCTAATCTTAACGTATAGGTCGGGTCTAGAGGTTTACATGCACTATTAGCGGCGGCCGGATCTATGTCAGGTAAAGGACCGAGGAGGAGTTGTCTAGCAGAAATTATAGTTTTCGGTGGCTAAATATTTGAGCTTTTGTTTGTAAAAGTGATGCCCGTGGACGACACAACTTCGAGCTCTTGAAGAAACTTGTGTTGCCTGATGGGTCCTTTCTCCGTGCTCGTTTGCCTGGACGGCCTACTCGCGATTTCTTGTTTACAGATCCGGCTCGTGATGGTGTTAGGTAAGATCAGCTCTTGAACTCTGTTCATCTGGTACTGGAATTGAATCGATAGCAATAAATGGCATGCATTAGAAAGTGAACATGTACACCGGACTTCTCTGTTTAAATTGTTTGCATTTCCTTATCGTCTCTGTTTTTCTTCGATTGCAGCTTGTTGAAGATATGGAACATGAACAAGTACGCTGGAGTCCTCGGTGTTTACAACTGCCAAGGTGCAGCCTGGAACAGAGCTGCAAGGAAGAACATTTTCCACCAAACAAATACGGACTCCATATCAGGCAATGTGAAGGGTTGTGACGTCCATCTCATTTCCGAGGCCTTGTTGGACCCTGAATGGCCCAGTGACTGTGTAGTATACTCCCACCGGACCGGTGAACTAATCACCCTTCCATACGATGCATCCATGCCGGTTTCCCTCAAGGTCCTCGAGAATGAAATCTTCACACTAACACCTATCAAGCACTTGGCACCAGGGTTCAGTTTTGCACCATCGGCATGTACAACTCCGGTGGTGCCATTGAAGATCTAAAATATGAATTAAAAGATGGAGCCAAGCTATCTGAGTTCGAAATCGGATGTGAAGGTGAAAGCAGTGGTCTTGTTCATGCGCGGATGGAGAATTCTAGCAACGAATTGGTAGGAATTTGCATGGAGATCAAAGGTTGTGGAAACTTTGGTGCTTATTCATCAGCCAAGCCGAGAAAGTGCACCGTCGGATCTAGTAAAGTCGAGTTCGATTACGATTCTTCCCCTGGATTGCTGAAGTTCGATCTGGGAAGAATGCCGGAGAAAGGGCAGAAGGACCATGTTGTTAAGTTGAGTTATGAGTTAAATGTAGCAGAGTAGATGTCCCACACTAATGTACCAATTTTAGTATGTATCATATAGGCATTTGGGTAAAGTCAAGTGTACGAGATCGAATCGAACAAACTTAAATGATTCAGGATAACTGTAAAAGCTTTAAACAAGGCATGTTATATTAAAAATACCTCTAGCAATTAAGGTTTTCATGTCCATGCATCCATACAAACACAATTGTTTTCTAATTGTACAAATTAAATACCCAACAGGTGAAACATATGCCCAGTACAGCATCCTACCATGAGTAAACAAGGACTACATCTAAAATTCCATTTTAACCAGTGCATTTGATGCTACTTCAGATCCATATTGAAGCCAGTCCTTGGCACAGATCAGGGCTTCCACCGTCTCTGGTCGCAAGGAGCTTCGGTACTCATCCAGTTGCTTGATTGTGATATCAAAGACCGAATCAGGAGCAGCAGCAGAAACTGGAATCGACAAAATGTCACGAGCCATCTTTGAAAGTGTTGGATACTTCATCTTGTTCAGCTTCCACCACCCTAAAACGTCAAACTCTTGGACACGAGGCAACAACGACTCTTCCAAGTACTGATCCACCTCAGATTTCATCTGCTGGTTACTAGTCTCCATAATGTAGACATCGAAATCCGAAAGCCCTTGGTCCGAAAGAAGATTTCCTTGATGAGACTCGTCGCCCTTCCCAATTCCAGCATTGCCTTCGTCTGCATAAGTTGGTGTCAAAGGCAGTGGAAGTGCTACATATTCATGAAAGAGCTCATGAATTCCATCATCAACAATTTTGATAAACGCGGGAGCTTCTTCACCGTATATTTTTGTGAAACTGAACTCAACAAGCTTCATCTTGAAACGAGGATCCATGACCACAGCAATTGCCAAAATCAAGCTACAATCCCTCCAGTACTTATCAATCTTTTCCTGCATCGACTTAGCAAGATTGCTGATGAAGGGATCCTCACTAGTGATCGAACGACCCAAGTCTGTGTGTATTTTCCAAGCTTCATGAAAGAAAGTGATTGCAGTAGGGTTAGTTGTAGTTGTAAGGATGCTAGCTGCATTGAAGAGAGGTTTCAAGAAAGTGCATAAAGTCTCAGCCAGCTTCCAGTCATCCACTGACGGAGCTAGTTTATAATCCGGATCAGACGTATCCAAACAGTTAAACACTTCCTTCAATTCGGTAGCAGCTGCCAGCATTTGGTATGTTGTGTTCCACTGAGTTTGATCATCAAGAATCAGGCTCTTTTCACTTGGCACTTGAAGCTGGTCTTTAACATGGAAAAACTTTTCATCATGCAAATCTGAAGTCGTCACGTACTTTACACTATCACGGATTTTCTTGACAATCTCTTGCCCTGCACCGAGCACATCCTTTGCCATGCTGCTCAAAGTACGAGCTACACAATTTCCAAGTAACAGTTGACCATTAAGAATAAGGGGATTCTTTGTACAGAGCAGAGGTCTAAGATTTTCAAGCCCAGCTTCACTTGTAGGATGATTGAAGGTGAGGGAAAACAATTTGCCTTCCAAACTCCAGTCTGATAGGCAGGCAGCAACAGCATGACTAAGAGCAGAATTGGAATCGGGATACGGTTCCATTATGACATTGAAAACCCGTCTTTGCAACTTCCATTCGAAATCAATGAAGTGTCCAGTTATAAATACATAACCCAGCGTCTGTTTCGAAGTCCACATGTCTAGTGTAAGACAAACACGCCCAGGAATACCCTCAATAAACTTCATGACGCTTTGCTTTTCCCTCAGGTAAGTTGCAACACAATCCCCTTGAATGGTGTTGAAACTGACTTTGTCAAATCGAGGCTGAAGATTCTGGACAAAAGCTATGAACCCCGGATGCTCAACCATGTGAAGAGGGTACTCGTGCATGATAATCATTCTCGCAATTTCAAGGCGGCAACGGTCCTGATCAAATGGTATGAAAGCTGAGCTCGGAATTCTATAGCGCCGTTTTCGTGGTTCACTTCCACCAACCGTTGGTGTATACGGGGAGAATTGATTGTTATCCTGGTCACGTAGGAACGCCCGACAAGTACCTTTAGCAATGTGACGTTTGAGGTGGCTGGTCCCTGCTACCTTGGAACCAGTACTGTAAGCGAAACTTTGTTTGCAACGGTTACAGCATGCTCTTCTACATCCAGGACTCACGTTTTCAATGGTAAAGTACTCCCAAACCATGGACTTCTTTTTCCTTCGCTTAGGCTGCGGTTCCGGCTGTATTTCAGGACTAACAAGAACCAGCTCATTGTTATTCTCCATCGGGGCAGTTTCCATTTCCGTCACTTCTGTCATTTCTTCCATTTTGATCTAGAAGTAAACTTCGCAGCTGAAAGCAAAAGAAAACTTCAAAAAGGAATTCAATACATCCATACATATCAAAATAAAAGAACAGCTCCAATTACCATTAAGGTTAACATAACTCGAGATGCTATATATAAAAGTAAACAAATGAGGTTTTGTAGATAGAGAGAGAAGGCTCAATAAGCTCATCAAAACAGAATCTTATCAGCTTTGAGCTGCATCATTACAACTTTAAGCTGCAAAAAACAGTCTGAACTGCATACTATACGGTATAGTTGATGAACATTACTATAGACACTGAACTCTAAAATTCTACCATTAAATGATATATATACCCACGAGCTGGCAATCCATGATCACATAAGTAGTATGTAAATGAGACGAGAGGTGTCACAAGCTATTTGAGTTCGACTTGGTCAAACTCGACTCGAGTTCTTAATGGGTCAAAACAATTTACTTGATACCCGACTCGAAAAGATAATATATTAAAATTTTAATTTTTTAAATTAAATTATTTACAATATTAACATTTTTGTGATGTTTTTCTTAAAAAATACAATATAATGTTTTCATGTATTTAAAATTCATGTCCAAACTCGAGTCCAAACTCGAGTTCAAACTTGAGTTTGAATTTCAATCAGGCTAAGTTCGAAAATATTTCGATTTCAAGTCTTTTTGGGCTCGAACCGAGTTTCTATTTTTGATTTGAATTCTAGCTTGAAATTTTTAAGCTCGCGAGCTTTCGAGTCGAGCTTCGATTTCAAATTCAAGTCAAGCTTGATAATTTTAAATTCATGAGCTTTCGAGTCGAATCAACCACAACTTTAAACTTTTCGAGTCCAGGAGCACAGAAATTCTCGAGCTCGACTAGGCTTGTTTATGAGACGGGCATTTCACATCCGAGCAGACCCACATTATGCACCAGGGCTAATCTAGGCATTTCACATCTGAATGGGCTTTTCTAACATCATCTACGTTTTGCATTGCACAAAAGAAAAAAAAATAGATCTAGGGTTTCAAAATTATATTTTCGAAAAAAGCACAATAAACATGAAGGAAAAGGAAAAGCCCAGATCAAACCCAATTCGATTTCAAACGCAATCTGCCCAGAATCCAGATCAAGAGCAACAAAACAAACAAAACAACCAGAGCAAAAAGACCCATTAACATTACAGAGGCAAAACATGAGCTTAAGAATAGGGGACTTTCGATAAGTACAGAGGAAAGCATGAAATCACCAAATGAACGCTATATAAACAACAAATCAGTTTCAAAACAAAAAACTCCAACTTCTGCAACTTCTATAAGGACAAAAAACACCCAATAATTTCTCATGCTCGACAACACAATCGAGAACAATCATCGTTAATTCCACCACAACACTGAAACACCAAGCGTTTAAAATCAAAGCTCTAAACTTTACGACAACATAGCAAACACTAAAGAAAGAAAGATCGGAAAGACGAGGAGAAACCCAAAATTAAGTTAAGAGATGGAGAATTTTACCGGTCAAAGCCCCAAAGCGAAGCGATCTGGGAGCGGATTGGAAGGCCGGAAAGTGAGGCCCGTTGAAGGGGAGATAGATCTAGGGTTTGGGGGGAGGAAGACGATGAAGAATTGGGCTTAGAAACAATCATGTATCTCTCTCTCCCTTCGGTTTTGGACTTTTATTTAGGGTTTGGTGGGAAGAACCAATTTGACTTTGAAAGGCAGCCCAATGGGAATAATGGCTGGTCTTAGGGGTATTTTGGGGCAAGTACATTCTTATTTTATTGTATTATGACTTCTTCAAATTAGGTTATTTATTTGTAATATTATTAATAATTGAATTATTTATGATGTAATTTATTCAATAAAAAGTTATTAGAAATTTTTTTAACGCTACTTTTAAAGGTTTATTTCATTTTTTATCAATAATGATATGTTTATGAAAATTGATTAATTAAATGATTTATTTGTAACTTTTTAAAATTAGATGACTTATTTGTAATCTTATTGATAATTGAGTGACTTGTATGTAATTTACCCTAATTTTAATGGAAAAGGGGTAAATTAAATGTTTAGTACCTAAACTATCAATTTGGCTCATTTTAGTACCTAAACTTTTAGTTTTTTCAAAATCATATCTAACGTTTAGTTTTTGTTTCATACTATTTTCTCACTCCTATTTTGGTACTAAAGTTTAATTTTTTTAATTTAACGACTCAACTTTCAAATTGTTCCTATTTTAATCACTCTAATTTATTTTATTAATAATTTTCATGACATAAATTTTTTATTATTAGTTTATTAATATTTAATTAAAAATAAAAAAATTAAAAGTTAGAGTGATTAACTTAGGAGTAATTTGAAAGTTAAATAATTAAATTAAAAAAATTTAAACTATAGTGACCAAAATAAGAGTGAAGAATAATTGAGTGATGAATGATATAGTTTACCTATAAAAAGGTGCCACGTGCACACTGACGGAGCCAATATATATTACGGGGTGTAAATTGACACACCAAAAGTTTCAAAACTTTCTTTTTACCCATACATACATATATAGTAAAAGAAAAAATGACACCCCTTTTAGAAATATTTTGACACATTTTAAAAAAGAAATTGACCCCATATTTAAAAAAATATTTAATAATACAAATTTTAAAATTCAAATTTTCCACTTAAAAAAAGTATTCATATAATTTCTAAATTTGAAATCCAAATTTTTTTTCTAGCTCCGCCCTTGCTTGTGAAAATCACCCGTTGAGTAAAATTTTTAACGGCGATGTGCAAAAACAATACAAAAACTAAACATTAGGTATAGTTTGAAAAAATTGAAAGTTTAAATATTAAAACAAACCTAAAAATTTTATTAAACTTAAAATTAATTTCAAAATCAAAGTTATATATATATAAAGATCAAGAACATACACCATCATGTGTTAAATCGTATGAAAATTCATATAATATAAAGATTTATTTCTATATTGTCTTTATATTAACTTCTTCTCATGCACGAAGCACAATAAGTCAATAATGTCTATAAACCAACACCTAATTCTCACAAATCTAAACAAGGGCATGATTCAAACATTATTAAATGGTGAATTACATCACACATCATTAAAATATGTTTAAACAATTATTTTATCAATACTTTTTTAATAATCTTAAATGATTATAAGATAATTAAATTTGAACGAACTAAATTACCTCAGTGATTAAATGAATGATTGTTATTCTTAGTGGTCCTGACTCGAGACGGACGCAAGATCTTATGTTGGCGGGGCGAATTTGAACTTATAAAATTATAGGAGGCAAAAACATATCTTCAATAGCAAATACATAGAAAAAATCTAAAATATATGATGATATTAAAATTTTAAAATTTGACCGCTCCACCTTTGTTATCTCTGGTCCCATATTCAAACACTAACGACTATAACATAAGTGATTGAACATTCATTACCTTTTCTTAATAAAAAGATAATTAAATTTATTAAATTTATTCCTCGGTTTTGTAATGATGTTGTGGTGGATGAATGTTCCACGAAGATGTCAAATTGTCAACACGAAGTGTCGACCCCCCGACAAAGGCACTATGGTCCGGGAAAAACGGGGTGCACTGTCTTTACCAACACCAACGTTCTTACTGTGGGGTCTTCCCCACATGTCTCCATGTGAACACCCTCCTCTTTCGTTTATTTGATTCATTGATCGTTTAATTTAAAACGGATATTGTAAAGATCTATTCACAATGTTAGAATTCGATATTATAATATTATATAAAAAAGTATGTTGATTCTTTTAGTTGAATGTCTTTTAAAGTACAAGCGTCACATTAAAAGTTTTATCAAAATATAGGTGTCACTTTAAAGATTTTAAAGTCTATGTACCACATTAGGTATTTTATCAAAGTAGAAGTGTCATATTGTACATGTTAAAAGTACATGTAGAAGTATCATATTGTACATGTTAAAAGTACAAGTATCACATTGAACATTGTATCAAAGTACATGTACCAAATATGACTCAATATATATATGCTATACATCTTTCCCTACCAATGTTCTTCTCGGGATCGGTGGTAAAAAGTAAGAAAAATACAGAAAAGTCTCTCATTTCCGCTATAAAAACCATCCTCCTTCATTACCCTATATGTATAAGCTCCCCTTTCTTCAATCTCTCACTCCCTTTAAATTCCTTATTTGGTTTTTTGGAAGCCATGGTTGGTTCTCAAGCTTTAGGGTTTTTTTTTCTTCATAAAAACGATGCTCATGAGAAGCAAAAGAAAAAAAATGGCCCTCTTGGTATTCTTCCACAGCTTTCTTGAACTGCAATTTCATCGTAGATCATCAGTTTTTGTTGTCGTTGTTAATGGTGCATCCATCCATGTTCGCCGGCCTATTTCGTTGCGGTTCAATAAAGTTGCGGGAAGATACAGATAGGGCCACAAAGTAAAGATTTTAGAGATCCATCGTATTAAATAAGAACAGATGCATGATTTTATGTTTGGTTGTTTACTCGGTCTTCTGTTAATCTAATCGTTCTTCATTCTCCTCAGTAATTTTGAACCCTAAACACGGTAAACTAGGAGGGGGAGAGAGAGAGAAAGTGATAGGTTTCGTTTTGGTACATGGAATTTTCTTGAGTAGTTCTGAATAGTTAGTTTTGGATCTTCTTTATGTTTAATTGTCTTGACTTTGTTTTATGTTAGTGTAGGGTGGTGCCCCTCATCTTTAGGGTTCCACAGAGGTACGAAAAAGGCTCTTTTACTTGATATTTGTAGTTAAAATTTGCATAGTTATTAGCTGACCAATCTGCAGTTACTTTCAGTCAATTTTCATGCATTTCCCCAACCAAAAAGATCCCATTATTGCAGTCAAAATTTTCTTTCTTGTGACTGCCCATATGATTCACCACTCTCTCATTAATGGGGATTGCATGCTTTTCTCTGATGTAAAATTATTTCCGATCATCAACAAGCAAGATGGGGTATTAGACTCTTTAAATAAGACCGGTGACTCGAATTATATCGTTGTGAATGGAACAAACTGAGTTAATAAGGTTGCGTTACAGTATCCGATCTCATATTAATCCATCAATAAATCAGATCCCGATGATTATAGAAAAATTGTTACATATAATTTTGACTTTTAACTATAATAAGCCGCATTAAAGTTCCAGTTATATTAGTGCCAGATGGACCACTCCAGTTGTGAATGTGAAGATGTTTCAGGGAATGAACCTTTAGGAACTTTGCAGATTAGGGTTTTCCCCCTTTTCTTTTCCAGTTTTTGTACAGTGTCCACAGGACAACTTAGGTGCAATAAAAAGGGGCTCTAGATACTAGATTGGCCTAAAGACATGTTATATATCTTGTCCTGATAGAACCAGGGGATGCTTGAACATCAGATCTGAATGTAAGATTATTTTAAATCTAGTTATGAGAGGCCAACTCGTTTGTTCAAAGTTCTTTTTACAGATCACATGATACAGATAGATACTTTAATCATATGGGTAAACTAAACCCAGAACCAATTAACTATGGCGAGATTTTAATTTGACGATCGATCTTTTAATTTTATAAAGCAAATCATTTTTTATTAATTTAGGATAAGTGCAAAACAATATATTTTCATGGATAGCTTTTAACCATTTGACGTTAAATGCTCACACCTCTGACATTCCTAGTACTCGAACTGATACCTCAAGGAATGACAACAATTTTTTTTACCACCGAGATCGTTTGATTTATGCTATTAAGCAGACCATTTAGTTATGAATTATAATAATATTGTAGTTAAAAATATAAAAATGAGTCTTAATTTAAAGTATAAGCTATATACACAATGTTTTAAACTATATTTAAATAGTTTGATTAACAAATTCAAAAGATCGATAATCAGATTATAATCTTCTTATAGTTAAGTAGTCATGGATGTAGTTTACCACAATTATATATATATATATAAACACACACACATGAGGCAAGATCCCTTTATGCTATGTAAAACTTTTTAGTTTTACATAATTTTAAAATTAACATTGAATGAGTGAAAATAAACAAATGTAAATTGTATATATAATTTATATTGTAGTTAAAAATATAAAATCGAGTCTTAATTTAAAGTATAAGCTATATACATAATGTTGGAATATATAGTTAAGTAGTCTGATAACAAAATTAAAAGATTGATAGTCAGAATGAAATCATCTCATAGTGTCAGATTGAACCCTTTCAAGTCGTGTAAAACTTTTTTGTTTTATAATTTTTTAAAATTGTTGGACGAGTGAAAATATACGGATGAGATTAACAATAAAAACGAGAAGATATTTACATGAGGAAAAATAAAAAGATAATTTTACCTATCTATTTTCACTCATCTAATGATCTTAGAAATTTATAAAGTTAAAAGTTTTACGCTAAATATAATTGGGCCTTTGACAAATCTATTTATTCATGTCTTAATGCCGACAACTATTTTTGCTTATATTTTAATCAGCTGACAGCCTCCTAGTATTATAATGGGTAAAGTACATAAATGGTGCCCGGCTATAAGATGTTGCTTTTTTAAGTCCATTGATTATTAAAAGTTACAAAATAGTCACCCGACTCTTCATTGTGTTCAAAACTTGTCCTT